TACTTTTTTAATTTCCTTTTTGTTTTGCATATATTCACTGCTGACGTTTCAGACTAAAATAGTCTTTAAAGTAAACGAGGGTCGTTTGTGTTTAAACAGAGATCAACCGCACTGCGTTGTGTGTTTCCTGGACAGGACATCTCATCTGACAAGCWTTTTTCAAACCGTTCAGGTGAGAGGTGAAACTTAAGACACAACATATTGGTTGTTGTTTTTTTAGGTACTAGGATTATCCTGACCTGGATGCCTGAGTGTCTCCACCAACCACTGCTTTAGAACAGCGAGAGGCTACACTGTGTTATACAGCTTAAATAATGATTTTTAYTCAAATGGACGACGGTTGTGTTTAAGCGAAAAGTCGTTTTTAAAGAGTTAAATTTGAAGTGAAGGACAAAGCCCTGACTGTGAACTACTGCGGGTGTTTGTGCGTAATGGCGCTGCCTCTGTGCTGACGCTTGATAAACCATCTCAAATTAAAGCCAGTCGCATCTGCGCACATCCTGATTTATTCAGAACATTCTCTGCACAAATCATGTTTTTAAATGCGCCAATATCTTATTAGGAAAATGAACCGTTTAGGGTTATGAATCGTACCCGCACATGCAGTCGACTTGACAATGAGAAACTGAACATACAGCAGAGCTCGATAATATTCAGTTTTTTTAAGTAAAATTATTCAAATTAACCACAGAATGAATCCAAGCTGCATTCACTTCAGTCAGAAAAGGGACAGAGTGCAGCTGAAGGGTCATATTATGACGTGACTTTTTAGAAGAGATCTGCCTCGTGCGTAAAAGCAGATGTTATGTTCCTGTACTTCTTGGAAAGAATGTCACAAACTAAAGGCTAACAAATGAGGCCGAGAGTTTCACAGCCGTGCTTACATACAATAGGTCAGCAGGTTTGCCCAATAAAGAAACACATAAACAGAATCCCAGTCTTTGTCCCAAAACCTTTCTGTGTCCTTCATTCAGTGGCTTGTTTTCTGAGATATTAGGCGCATATTGTCTGTGCTGCTTCAAAAGGAAATACCACGAGTTATTCATGAAGTCCCATGTGGTGCACAGATAGCACAGCTGAGACACAGCGTTATCATCTGGATGGACAAAAATAATCTGTATTCTGCTCTCACTGCAGCAGGGGATTCTCTCTCCGAGATAAAAAAGAAAAGCTGCGCCTAATATAAATAAAATACCAAAATAAAACAATCCGACCTACAGCGAATTGGTCTAAGCCAAGTCAGTTAAAAATATTCCTCTCATGAATGTTTAGAATAAACATTTCCGGGAGGTTTGCTACGCAGCTCGGGAAACTAGTCCTGCAGTCGATGGGCCTTCTGCTGCCTCATCGCGCGTTCTTTTCCTTTTTTATACTGCAGCAACGTTTGCACAAAAATATCCAAAGTATTTTTTGCCTATATCATAATCATGATCCTTTAAATATCCAACCATGCTGTTATCCTTTTTAACACGTGGGCTGTAATTAGAGCGTTCAACGGAAACTTCACACACACATACACACAAACACACACACAATGCGGATTTCAAATTATATTTAAAGCTGTCATTTGTCTAAATGTTACTTCTAAAATGCACGTTTTGAAATTGCTTTATGGGTGAAATAGTTTAAACATAAAATCAGAAATGATAACATAGCAGTAAAGAGCGCGCAGCTTCATATCGTTTGATGCRTTTGTTTTAATTTACCTTTTGTTTGAAAGACACAGATTCAATTATATAGCCAGTTTAGTAAAAAAAATAATAAAATGAAGTGAATCAGTCTTAAAATACTGATCTGTAAAGACACCCGACATGACCCTCCTTTTAGCTTAATACTCTTCATATGGCCGTTATAAGGCTCGCTTCTGGTTTGATCCCAGTCAGATCATCCATAACTGTATTTCCTGTATCTCTGTAAAATATTTAGAAATTGACGTAGTGGGGGTGGGGAAAGGGTCAAGAAAAGCCATTTGCATATTTGCTTCATGTCTGATCATGCCGGTGTCAGAAAGCCAGCTGTCCTGAGTTGGTGTCTGTCGTTCTGTCTGTCTGCGCGGCTGGACAGTGGAATAAATGACTTTATGTCTATATGGTTTTAGGGTGACTGTGTGCAGCTCTCCAGGCTGTTTCCAGTGCTGTAAAGCCTTTTGATGCATTCCGAGAGAGGGAGAGAGAGAGAGAGAGAGAGAGAGAGAGAGAGAGAGAGAGAGAGAGAGAGAGAGAGAGAGAGA